CTCAGCACTTGTACTATGAATCTCGCCATACAACCCCTTTTTACGCTATCACTACTGTGATCAGAAATGATTTCAGTAAACTTACAATGTGAAAAATAGATGGTAAAAACTTGCAGCTGTTCCTGTAAAAAATATGGAGACAACCACCATAATTATTAATTAAAAGACTATTTCACCACTTGAGGGGTAGCTCACACAACATTAAATTAATGTAATAAATACGAACTAAACAGCATAAAATGTAACAAACAACCTAATGTATATAACTCTTCAAATAAATAAGGAGAAACTGAAATATTTAAATAAAATGCAATGTGACGTGTCATGTAGGGATTTCTGGGAACATATTTTTTTTCTTTCTTTTTTTTTCTTTTTAATAATGTGACTATTTAAAAGAAAAGCATGCAATTATTTATATTGATTAAACTAACAGTTAAATCTAGATTCCCCCCATGCTTAATAAGATAATTTACAACTCATTAACCAAGTTTTATTGTCATGGTTTTGCTTTTTTCTGAGAAAAAGCTGAGAAAAGATGTTAGCTATGTAGTGGCATTTAGTCTGGCAAAAAGAAGAAAGCTAGAAAGGCCGATTTATGCATTGTTTTTAGTTTGCATGTTACTTCTTGGGTCAATTTTATGCTTGATGCCTTCAAACTTTCTCTGCTAAGACATGCCATTCTCATATGCCACCTCTTTCTTCAACAAATGTGAAATATTCATTTGACAAGGTTAAAAGGAAGGGAAAACATTTGCAATTGACTAAGAGATATGAGATCATTAACATTTCTCAGGTACATCTAAACATCATAATAAAAACCAACATCCCCTTTTACAAGCCAAAGGCCCAGCAGGAGCGCTTTATGGCCCAAAAAGGAACTGACAAACCCCTAAAGCATTCACAAGTAATTGTAATGTGGAGTGGTGTGTATGTGGAAAAAACACTCCCAGACAGACAGGACAGCGCTCTCTATCAGCACCTCAGAGCTTAACTGGGGGGTGTGCTATAGTCCCTAAATGTCACATGTGAGTTTTTAGGGGGCCTGAGGCTGTGTGGACCCATATGAGTGGGTGGACATGGGCTTTGGGTAGTCCCTGGTGAGCACCTAACCCCCCTTCTTTCCCTTTTCCCACTGTTCATGTGAAAGTGACCCTGGGAACTGGGGTCCCCAGGGGCTCGGGGAGGGGAGCAAGTGATTCAGGGGACAGGCCAAAGCACCAAGGCTGCCACAGGGTCATGTGAAAGCACTCTGCTGTGATGGCTGCCAGACTTTTGACTCCTCACAAAATAAATAATGCACTTCCTTTCCCTCCCTCACTGTCTCCAGCTCAATAATCCCCTCCATCCCTCTATCTAATCTGTCCATCAACACACTCTAATCTGTCCATCTGTCCATCAACACACATGTGATGTTCATCCATCCAGAATAAGACTTACAGTATAATGTAGATTGGAATATAAGACTTTGAGGGTTACAGGACTTTGGGCGGCACTGGCAACAATACGGTAAACAAATGTGCATACAAAGGAAAGGTTTCACAGCTAATGAGGAACTGTTGGTGCTCATTTGAACTTTTTCCAATTTAGGGCTACAATAAATAATATGAATAGTATTGTATATTAAGAGTAAATAATACAAAATAATACAATAACAAATAATGCAATACAATATACAGTGCATATATATATATAAATATATAATATTTAAATATAATAATATAAAAATATAATAATAATAATAATTCAAATTATTGGAACATTTTTGCAAATTATATAAAAAATAAATGATATAATATTTTTTTATAATTTTTTTTTAAAGATTTGAAACACCACACAAACTAGCTAATAGATGGTTAATAGAGATATTGGTTTGAAATCACCCAACAGTTGTAAACATTATGTCAAAATCTAGTGTTTATGTTGAATGCAGCCAGATTGAGTGTGCTCAAAGTCTGTCATCAAAAATCTAAAAGTTATACCAAGATGGGCCATAACTGTTCTTTTTAAGCTATTGGTGCAAATTTTCAGTCCTTCTGCAATGTGTTCAATGTGTATCATGTCTTTTACTTTATATGGGCATGCTAAGATTCAGCTTGAATGTGTTGGAATGTGTGTGTGTGTGTGCGTGTGAAAGACTCAGAGTGTGTTTCAGTAGGTCACCAGAGTGGCATCCCTGGACTAGGAAAGTTAAACGCTGACCCCAAGCCTAACAACAGCTGGCCACATCTGCTGGCTCTCCTCCTCCTCCGCTCCCCCCCTGAATCTGATATTTGCAACTTTCCAGAAACAAAGGATGGGAGGAACGGAGGAGAGAGTGTGGGGGATGGAGGTCTGCCCCTCATTTCTCTCGCTCTAACAATTTCATTAGACACTGCTGCTGAGATATTTAGTAAACTTCCTAATGTGCTTATTGACAGGAGATACTGCACATGGTGGAAAGTTGGTGTAGTCTGAGAACTTAGTGAGACATTGAAAGTAGTAGATTTAAGACGGTTTTCTGAAAATGTAAACAATAATTGCTTAATAGCGCACATGAAATTTAGTAAAATTAGGGGACATTTTGACTACAGTTTCTTATTTAACATCTGATTTCACAGAATTCATGTTCAAAGTCAAATTCAAAGGCCAGTTAAACAGCAGCCGGATCACATTCCCCAATGAAGCTTTCGAGACTGTGCTCTGTGAGGTCAATTCACATTTCGGCCCACTATCCCCAGGTGAACTCTCCTGTTACACTCCCTAGCACACACTCAACCTGCAGCACGCAAGCACAATGCAAGTCATCTGCGATTCATCAATACCATTTGAAAACATAAAACTAGGTTTTCATGAGTTATTCCATCCTGTCTTAATCAGAGGACTTTGATTGAGCTTTGATTCATAAGTGCACTCCTACAGGAAAGCCACATTTGGTGATTGTTTCCTAGCACCCTATTGCTCTCAGTACCTGAAGGGGAAGCACTCACTGTATCAGCGGAGTGTTTTTAGCCAGCTGGATCAGCTCAGTGTCACCCTGCTCTCAATGACAGCTTGACATGCCTGGTATGTCACAGTATCTCATGAGCAACATGAGCATTGACCAACCAACAAATTAATTTGCTACATTTACCTTCACGAACTGAGTCGGATGTTTATAATAGTAGGTTGAGATAGACTTACCGCAGTCTGTTTTGAAGAAGAAGGATCGTTCACACTGGTCCTGGCTGATTTGGTTGGGTTGGGAGGGTGGCTGGGTGTTTGGTGTCGGGATGGGTAGAGATGCAGAGAGGTGGTCCCCGCTCATGGACGCTGTGCGCTCCACCGTCTGAAGGGGGTTCCCGGTGCGAGGCTCCTTTTTGAAGCATGGCCGGCTTGGGGAGCAAAGACTTTTCTTTTACCTTATATGAGGCAAGGGGCCGGCTTACTATCAGAGTGGCACGTCAGGGAAAGCCTCCCGAGCTGCCTGATTGGCTGGTGTAAGAGCCCCCGTGACCCCGAGCTGTGACCCGCAGTGTGTGAGGATGAGAAGAGACGGGGAGGGAGGACTCAGGCTAGGGGGCTGGGCCCGCCGTTTCAGTCTAAGGAAGGCACGTTTGACAATTTTCATATTTCTTCTAAATTTGGAGATTTCTGCCTGTGCTGGAGTCTTGGCCGGCCTCTCTGAGAGTCCATGTGGAAACCATTAACAACAGAGGGCTCTTTGCCATTCCTGCCTGGAAACACACAGGCTCTGCGCAGACACAGTTATTTAAAATAATTAACATCCTCTCAAAAGCACTGCGCTTCCCCATATGGGAAAGCATTTGCTTACAGAATGCTGGGAATCATATACAAGTCACAGTTAGAAAAGAGTTAGAGAGGGGGTAAGAAAAAAAGAGAGAAAGAGGTTTGTTTATTTTCCTCAAGGAGGCAGAATTGCAGTTGGGCTCAAAAACTGTCTTCACACAAAGACGTTCTCTGTTGGCGGCTGTTCAAACTGTAACCAGATAAAACGTCACAATAAATTTGGGCAAATCAGAATATCAAGCCAAAATTGTAACATTATGATTATATCACAGTGTACAAATAAAAGCCAGAGCAAGTTGTCACATTTTTACTCTATTGATTATTACACATCCTAAAGTCATGGCTATAAAAACACTATTCGACATTTCAATGGTTATTGCCCAGAAACAAAGACATTTAATACACCAGTGTGGGTTTATTATTTCCAAATACAAATTTCTTTACTGGCATCAATGGTTCCATTAAGAACTTTTTAACATCCATGGAACCTTTTCAATGCACAAAGGGTTCTTTATAGTGGAAAAGGGTGCTTTAGATTATTGAAATGTTCTTCACATTAAGAAAAAACTGTTATGTGAAAAGTTATTTGGGGAACCAAAAATGGTTCTTCTATATCATCACTGAAAAAAACCCCACCTTTAGAACTAAAACTATTTTGATATTTTAATTTTAGTTTGGAGGACAGAAATCATGTGTTATTTTTAAAATTCTAAATATCCTAGTTGTGAAGTAGATAGTTTGAAACCAACCACTGCTAGACTTTTGGCTCAAAACCTTCTGAGACGTAACCCTTGTGACAACTTTCCCGTGCGACATCTAGTCCCGGACTAAAAAAATATTTAGATGAAGCCGCTGTATGTTTTTGCTTTCATGACACAAAGATTAACGGCAGTGAAATGGTCATCTTCAGGATGATGGACACTGTGTGTAACAGGCCTAGGGAAAACTGTTATCTAACAATATAATATGGCTCTGGAGATCATCATTACACTGACCGCTGGCAACACAAACAGTTTGCTAATGAAATCACACACCCACATGGATAAACTGGAATCTGTGTGTTAATGATTAATCTATTAGCCAATTAGCGTTTTTCTGTGGAGGTCTTCAGATGGCCAGATTTGATATTCTTTAAGTGTGTTTTTGTATTTATTTAATTGTAATGTAATACTCAGTGTTGTCTTACATATGCTGACCCCTTTCTAATTCTGAGAATGTACATATAAGCAGCAGACCTTCACAAACCAGACATTCATTCACACCGCATCTCGGCATCAATGGACCAAGACATCTGCTGAGGGGAGAGATAAGAGCGATTATAAAGGAAAGCAAGACAAAGCCTTGACCTTGGGCCGTGCTCGCCGCCAGATGAATTTTCCTCCTGGACACGTCGAGCCACAGAGGTCAAAGAGGCAGATTGGATATGGCTAAACAGAGAGCGAGGGGGTGGTGAGGTCTGTCTGTGAAATGTCCATAACGGTTAGATCCCCTTCTCGCCCTCGTCCATAAAGGAGCCTGCAAAAGACTAATGTTTAGAGGGGCTGTCTCCTCCAGACCCATGCTCTGGAAAGACTAAATTTAGACAGGAGTGAAGTGGAGAAGCGTGACAACACGGTGTCAGTGTGAGCCATTGTTCGGTGAGTCCTTCATTAGCTTCAGCGAGTGGCAGAAGAGGTCGCCCCCTAGCTCTCACCGAGAAGTCTTAAAAAGGCAATGTTTGGGGAAGATTCTCTGTTTACATCTGGAGAAACGGGGGCTTTTAAAAACAGCAGCCAACCCGTGCCTCGTGGCTTGGCAGCCCTGAGCGTTAATGGCCTGGCTGATGAGTTCTTTTCCTCCAAATAGAGAGCGTCATACTAGTGGAGTGTAGCAGTGTAATTTCCCTCTTTGCTAGATTTCTTTATTTTATGATATTTGAATAATGGCTCTGGATGCATGTCTGGGTTTTATTCTCTTTATGGTGTCAAAATGGTTATGTATATAGCTGAAAACAAAACAAAACAAAACAAAGTATTGCAGAAGCAAAGTCGTTTTGAATTGCAAAAATAATGTATGTTGTAAACAAAATGGAAAGAATTATAAAACATTTTTTTGTCAGCAATTACTTTGCAATACCTATTTTTATGTAAATAAATTCAAAAGTATATTTAAAAATATAAAATCTGGCCATCTGAAAACATTTATAGAAAAGCATAAAACAATGAAGAGTGAAGAACAATTACATAAAATGCTTCATTGTTTTTTGTGCAATTAAATACAGTTTTTTGCAACTAAATGCATCATTTTAACTCTATACCCATATGTTTTGAAGCTGTTTTCTGCCACAGACTTTGAGCCCACACAGTACAGAACAGAACAACGTGTTTAGTTCTAGCGATAGATGACTCGTTGAGACTCATACACAGCTCAGATATACAAAGATGAATACAATCTGCAAGACTGTTTACATTAATGTGTATTTTTGGGGGGCTTTTGCTTGGGTTAACAAACTGACGGACTGATTCTGAACTTTTAAGTTAACAATACAGGTAACATCTTGAAACCATTGCAAAAACTGGAAATTCTGAGACCAATTTTACAGTCCATTTCCATGAAAAATATCATACTGGGGTCTTTAATTAGTGGACCTTGCAAGAGGTTCAGCATGTGACTCATCACGAAACATTTGTTATATGAAATATAAAAGATTTCACAAAAGATTTCTATTTCAAATAAATGCTGTTCTTTTGATCCTTCTATTTATCAAAGAATCCTGAAAAAATGTAGCCCGGTCAATTGATTTCAACAGTGATAAGAAAATGTATCTTGAGCACCAAATCAGAATATTAGAATGATTTCTAAAAGATCATGTGACACTGAAGACTGGAGTAATGATGCTGAAAATTCAACTTTGCCATCACAGGAATAAATTACAAATAGAAAATGGCTATTATTTCATAGTATTACTGTTTTTACTGTATCTTTGATCAAATATATGCAGCCTTGGAGAGCCGAGACTTCTTTCTTTTTTTAACTTACAACTTTAAAGAAGGAATTTGAGCCATATTTATGGTCCATATAAATACAAGCATTTTCCCAGTATTGTAACACAGGCTAATACCACAAATTGTTAAAATCACTATATAAATGAATTTGTTTAAAATTATCCCTAAGTAATTAGAAAAGGCAGTGAGATTTCAGTGGCAAGCAACTCAATCACGTTTCTCCAAAAGCATCCTTTTATCAGGAGAGATGGCACAGAGACCTCTGCAAACATAAAAATTTCAGCTGGGTCAGATGAACCACTCTGCAGAGGATACGGCAGGTCATTGACTCAAAATAGATAAAGAGGACAAGCCTTGATATCATAATATGTACATTTATTTTTGTATCCTCTGATGCTTGCATTGCGATTTATGAAAGCTAGTGCATTAGCAGTGACCCAGAAATAACAAAAAGGGCATTGAAGAGCATCACAGGAAAATAAGATTTCAAATCTACACTTCCATTTGCCAATAATTTAAAGAAAGTTACTTACTGTGACTGGCTTATGGACATTTCTATCAAGTCCATTAACCTTCCTTAAGTCAAGCTAAATGTTATAAATGCATGTTTATCACATAAGAGTCATATCCCGGCACTGTCCTCTGAATGACCTCTCTGTACGGCAGGAATACCTTGCAGTAGATCACCGTTCCCTGGCCGTACTGGCTGGACAGTCATTGGATTATCTCTACACGCTCAAGATTCATTTGCTTTACCTTCACATGCCCTGAAGGAAGAGAGCCAGCCAAGGTGTCTAATTTAACTGGCCTGTCACATCTGGTTGTACTTACGTCCACCAGAGCAGGTTCAGCACATCCTTTAGCACATAGCCAGGGAGGTAAATGACAAAAGCCATGCACGCACACATGGCAGGATGTATCAGCAACGGGAGAACAATAGATTCCCAGTGCCTGACAGCTGGAGCTGTGCTCTGTGTTTGATGGAGACCAGTGGGGTGTTCTCATTCTTTACATGTATTCCTGCAGCACTGTTTACACTACATCTGACACCACTGGATCTTACGGGTTTCTTTGTACGGTGGATTCAAAAGTCTTAAGACCACTTGTGAAAATACATTTATTTGCACTGAAGCAGCATATTAAAGGGATAGTTCACCCCAAAATGAAAATGCTGTCATTAATTACTCACCCTCATGTTGTTCCAAAGCTGTAAGACCTTTGTTCATCATTGGAACACAAATTAAGATATTTTTGATGAAATCCGAGGGCTTTCTGACCCTGCATAGACAGCAATTGAACTACCACGTTCAAGGCCTAGAAAGGTAGGACATCATTAAAATAGTCCATGTGACATCAGTGGTTCAAGCGCAATGTTATGAAGCTACGAGAATACTTTTTGTGAACATGCATCAAAGACTGACATGGAAGAGAAGAAATTGTTGAATAAAATTGATATTTTTGTTTTCTTTGCACACAAAAAGTATTCTCGTAGCTTCATAACATTACGGTTGAACCATTGATGTCACATGGACTATTTTAACGATGTCCTTACTACCTTTCTGTTGTCAGTTCCGTTGCTGTCTATTCAGGGTCAGAAAGCATTTGGATTTCATAAAAAGTATCTTAATATCTTAATTTGTGTTACAATGATGAACAAAGGTCTTACAGGGTTGGAACGACATGAGGGTGAGTGATTAATGACAGAATTTTCATTTTTGGGGGGACTATCCTTTTAAGTAATGTGACCTACTGTAAAATGACCTAGTTTTTACAACTATTTTTTTTTAATGCAATTTTATTAACCCTTAAATGCATACCTCGGGTCTTTAGCGACCCGGGACATAATTCTCTACCCTCTCCTCCTTCAATTTTTTTTTAAGTTAGACATAAACTTTCTTAGTATTCCTCAATCTATTAATTATAAACAATATAACAAGAAGAAAATAGTAAAATATAAAAGAATGCCTGTTTTCTAATACATTTTTTGTAAAAAGTGTTTAGGGTCGCTAGAGATCCGAGGTATGTAAATGTGTAAGTATTTTTTCCTGCGCAACTATATTTACATATCTGATGACTCAATATGCTCAATAAATTTTTTTCCTCAAGGTGGCACTGTTTGATACACAATGATGACGTGACGTTTCACTCATAATTACCGCAGGCATAAAACAAACTAATATCGTAAGCAAAAATTGAAGTGGTTTGAATGGCTTTACTGCAGAGCAATTACTATACGCAATGAAATATAAATGTCACTGTCATTTGATGCTGGATGTGGTGAATAAGCTGCCAGTGATCAAAATATTGAATATGAAGTCATTGAAAACGATAGTTTTGAGAATATGGCTAAGATCGCGAATATGCGGCAGATGCTGAATGTACTGTGGAAGTGCGCTCTGACGATGACAGCGATGGTAAAATCATCTATTCAAATTGAACCCTTTTAAGTTTCAAAAGGTAATGAAATATGCTTTATTTTATTCTTCTGTAATCGTTCTTAAAATATCAAGAGGATTTTTTGCTATTGCAGAAGCTAGAGATCCATCCGTACTGGATATATAGGTCCGGGTCGCTAAAGACCCGAATATGTAATAATGATTGGCGAAACATTCATGCATTTAAGGGTTAATTTTAAGAATATAATGAGAAAAGGAAGTTAATTTGAGATAAATATAAATAAATTTAATACTTTTTTCATATCATTTAAATGCAACTGGCAGAAATGTGTTCACGACCATTTTTTTAAAAAGCTTTTCCAGTTGTTCATGATTTACTGGATAAGAATTGAAAAAAATTTTTTTTACTTATTATTATAAGTAAAAATTTTTATAAAATAGTATAAAAATATTTTACGTAGTTTCCACCCTATAAAATATGTGTATGCATTATAAAAATTCCAATGGAGATTTGAGATTTTATTAACATGATTTCTTCAGGTCTAGAAATCACACATTTCAGGGCTGTACAGTGCGACATATATGTCGCACGTGCTACGAAATACCTGGTCTGTGCGATGAATAAATTTACCACTGTAGCACGCGTGCGATACAGTTTTCTGGTTATGTCTAAAATGAAAGTAAACAGTTGAGAGAGAAACGTGTACAGCTCTTAAAGGGACAGTAGCTACTAAACATGCTGCCGACTGTCATTAAAGGGATAGTTCACCCAAAAAATTCACGTACAGCCCTGCATTTGTAATGAGTAAATGAGTCAAAGACAGTAGCTGAGGTGTTGAATTAAAATGAGATTTTTGAGAGTACACT